TCATATGGAAATGCAAAGGACCTAGAACAGCCAAAACAATTGTGAAAAAAAAAAGTTGGGAGGCCGGCCGGGAGCGCAGCGGTTAAGTGCACACGTTCCGCTTCTCGGCGGCCCGGGGTTCACCAGTTTGGATCCCGGGTGCAGACATGGCACTGCTTGGCAAAAGCCATGCTGTGGTAGGCGTCCCATGTATAAAGTAGAGGGAGATGGGCACAGATGTTAGCTCAGGGCCAGTCTTCCTCAGCAAAAAGAGGAGGATTGGCAGTAGTTAGCTCAGGGCTAATCTTCCTCAAAAAAAAATAAAATAAAATAATGGAGGACTTACACTACCTGACTTCAAGACTCTATGGCCAGTCGATTTTCAACAAAAGCACAAAGGCAACTCAGTGGAGAAAGGACAGTCTTTTCAACAAACAGCACTGAACAACTGGACATCCGCATGCAATAAAATGAGCTTCAGTCAATACCTCACACCACACAGCAAAACTCAAAATGCTTCCTAATCCTAACTGTAAAACTTAAAACTGTAAAACTTCTGGAAAGAAAGATAGAAGAAAATCTCCATGACTGACACCAAAAGTAAAATCTATAAAAGAAAAACTTGATAAACTGAAATTTACCAAAGAACTTTTGCTCTTTGAATACACTGCTAAGGAAGTGAAAATGAAACAAGTTAACACCACTGAGGCACGCCACTCAGTGACAGACACACTGCAGTAACTATCAGCATGCCCCCCCAACACTCTCCTCACCCCACGTCTGCCCTTCACTCCAGGAAGTAGGTGCCCTGCTCCCCGCTGAGATCCGATCCCTCACGGCAGCCTCAGCTGACCGCCCTGCCTTGGCCACTTCCCCTTCCAGGCATCCTCCCCACTCAGACCTTTGTCAGACACAGGTCATGTCATGCATGCCACACTGCTGCTAGCCAATCTTCACTGCTGCCCACAGAATCAAACCAATGCCTTCAACACGGGCTGTCGCAACCTAGACCCGAATCCCTCTGCCTCTTTCTCACCCCTCTGACACTCTGTGCCCTGGCCTCCTGAGAACCCCAGGCCACAGCTTCGGCTCTCAGCCCTTTGCTTCTGCCTGTCCTCTACAAGTATGCCCCGCCCTGCCCTCTCTACCATGGAGAATCCTGCTCCTCCTCAAGGGCCAATTCCTGTTGCCTCGCCAGGACACTCCCAACCCGCCAGCAAGTGATGAGTGTTCCCGCAGCCCTCCGCCCACACAGTGAACCCGGGATCAGTACGCAATATTAACAGCTGTATTTCCAGTCTACCTTCTCCAGTGTACCGGGAGCAGGGAGAAAAGTTTTGGTTTATATCCTTAGTGTGAACAGAATTTTTAAAAAACTGTTCATTGAAGGAATAGAATCAAAATCCTCTCATAAGACTCAAAATTGTAAAACTGTCAATTTTCTTTAATCTACAGTCTATAATCTATAAATCTATATCTATATAAATCTATATAAATTTCTATAACCTATAAATATCTGAATCAAGATATTGGAGGGTACTTAATGAAATGGTTCCAAAGTTCATGTGGAAGAATCAACATACAAGAGCAGCCAATTAAATTTTGAAAAGTATATGAAAAGGGGGATTTGTCTTATATTATGTTTAGAATGTATAAAAAGGCTACAGTAATTAAAACTATGCTATTGTTAAAAGAATAGGTGCACAAATCAACAGAACCATACAGAAAGTCCAGAAATAGACACAGTTAAGGAAGAAAAGGTGTTATACAAGAAAGGCAGGGTTTTAAATCATAAAGAAAGATTAACAAATAAATAGTGTTGGAACAGCTAGTTAGGCACTTAGGGAAAAAAATTAATCTTCCTTACATCTTTCCTTACCCCAAAATAAATTCTCAATGGATATGAGTTAGACGTAAAAGTCCTAGGAGAAAATACAGGTAAATATTTTAGTCTTAGAGTAGGAAAGGACTTTCTAAGCCAGACACAAAAACCCAGACACTAACAAACACTGCTTAATTTGACACATAAAAATTTTAAATTTCTGAAACTCAAAAACATATAGAAATTTTCAAAGCCATATTCATACACATTCACCTATGCCCACAACCCTACACGCTCACACTCCTTAGCCAGTCACCAGTGGTGCATAAAGTAAATAAAAGACAAAGCAGGACAAATCATTCATACGGGTAGGAGGAGACGCTAACTCGTCTAACATTGACACGCTGGGCGCCTGCCACCTATATCAATAGGACAAACAGGAAAACAGGCAGAGGGGTGGACCGCTAACAGACAGGGGACAGCCTAGCCTCTCCAGTGAGACGGGCAGTATGCAGATGGTTAGTTCAGGATCCAGGTGGAAGGTTCTGTGTCACAAGGGAAAGGCTCAGAGGGAGGCCTGGCACACAGCCATGCTCTGCTGGCACCAGACGTCGTCAGCGCTGTGGCCATCGCAGGGTGAGGACAGCTGGAAGAGTCTGTGGAGCGGTGGCTGCAAGCCTGAATGGTCACAATGCATGAAGGGATCACCCACCTTTCAACATCTATCTACAGAAGCCCTCGCACAAGAGTGTAGAGATCTAAAAAAACACAAATGCCAAGCGGGACTCTGGCTAGATCTTTAAAAAAACAACCAATGGGAGAAGGTGGTAGGTAGGTGAGTACACACTACCAAGGAAAGAGCTGAGCTTGACCATCAAGTGGAAGAGCAAAGTGTACACAGCTGAGCAAGATCGGTTTTGTGAGGTCTCGTCCGCTGTCCCAGCCCCAAGACAGGCGGTCTGTGTGCTGACCCTTGACACACAGGGGGATGGCAGCACAGACTCTGCTCTCCATGGAGGAGACAGACAGACCTGTGAGCACATTGCTGATGGCAAACGGAAGTGAACGCTCCCCTCCCCAGGGGAAGAGAGGGCAGAGGCACGGAGGGGTCTGGAAAGGTCCTCTTGCATCCTGCAGGAAGCATCAGCTGAGCATCAACTGCCCTCCTGGCAACTTAGAGGCACCATCTCCTTTAATCCGCATGGCTGAGCAGGCCTGAGAGGGACACACTGCTAGTTAGCAGCTAGTCAGCAGTGGGGCAGGACTCAACCAGGACTGTCTCCCACCAGCTCCACTCCACACCCACGCTGTGATGCACACTAGCATAGGTCACATGGGCAGAGAGGACCGGGTCTTCCCTCCCTGCATTGTACACATTGCAGGTAAGTGAAGAAGCTGCTTCCCCCTTGTCCTTCTGTACTCAGCATTCACTCAAAGGCATTTAGTAAATGCCCACCAGGTGCCGTCCTAGCCCACAAAGCCCCTGGCTTGAAGGATGCTCATCCGTATTACAGCTGCCTCAGGACATAGCACAGGCTAACAGAGGCGCTGGGTCAACTGCACTGGGCCTGAAGCAGGTCAGAAGGGGGCGTGGGAGGCCAAGGAGGCCAAGCGAACCATAGCCCAGGGGCAGCCATGAGCCTGTCTGGAGGGTCAGGTGTGTGCGGGGAGACCAGGGAGTCAGGATGCCATGCAGGGTCATGGGAATGCCCCACCCACGCAGCAGGCCCACAGGACTTTGCCTCCCATCACAGGAGTCAGAGAAAGGATCAACTTCCAGAGTCACCAACAAGAACCTGGGCTGAAGACCTGGGAAATACAGTTCCACAGCTCACTGCTCACAGTCCCTTGAGAACACTGTTATTTCTCAACATAAGTCATGCCAAGTTGCATCACTAGGTTTGCAGGCAAACCCACAAAGCCAGGTGGCCCTCCAGGTCAATGAAGAAAGCACATTTCTCATGATATCCAGCAGCCAGTGTGCCGTGAGCACTGGCCAGGAGTGTATGAGAGCTACAGAAACGTTCTGGGGACCTCTACCTCAAGGAGATCAAGTAACTCAGCTCAGTGAAAGGGTTCACGAGATCTGGGGTCACTGACCACAGATGAGCAGCACACCAACTGCTCACCTGGGCCTCAGTGGAGCCTGAATCTGAAAACTAAGTACAAACACCTGCTTCTAGGCACATGGGACAGCTGTGAATACAAGCAAGCACATGTCCCACAGGTTCCGCCTCTGATCCACTGGTGTCCCTCAGCAGGCAGCAAATGGCCCTGGGAGAGTGAGAAACAGCAAGATGCAAGTCTGAACAAGCCATGGCTGCCTGGACATTGGTTTCAAGATAACCAAGACAGCTCAACTTCAAATAACTCCACTCTGACACCAAAAAGAGATCAGAGACACCTGCTCACTTGGGCCATGACAGCCTGAGGCCAGGAAATGAAGATAATGTCACAGTAGCATCCCCAAGTCGTGGGTGCCAGGACTGTAGGTGCAACCACATCACAGTCATGCCACTGCTGCTGAAGTGTCCCACGACTGATGATTCCCCATGGGTCTCCCAGTGCCCAGCGCCGGGTGGGCATCTCCATCTGGACCATTCATTGCCACTCATACGTGACAGCTCTAACACCCAACCCACCATCTTCACCCCTGACCTCTCCCCAGTTTCCACCTCAGCTGCCTGTTTTCCTGTGTCATCATGCACTCTGCTACCTGGGTCAGAAATCGGCACCACGCCCTCCTGTTCCTCCATCTCCCTCCTCACATCCTACCTCAACTCATGGATCATCTTCTTCTCCATCTCTACCACCATCCCCTTCCAAAGTGGTCCCTGCTCCAGGACTGTCCCCTCAAAGCCAGCCTCCACCCCAACCCCGCTTGTCCCCCCACCAGACAGCTGCTCCAGCTGACATCCATATGCAAGCCCACTCTTCTGGCTCCCCGCAGCAGTTCCCTCTGCTCCCTCCACCCGCACTTGAGCTTACGTTAGGTCCCGCCCCCAGGCTGGCCCTGCAAAGGGGAACCTCCGTAAGTGTGCACATGGGCACTGCCTGCCTGCGCCCACAGAGCCCTCTCCTCGGGCCCTAACGCTGCACTGCAGCTGTGCTGGCGCTGCAGGAAAATCGGAACCCAAAATCCGGGCCTAGGAGCCCCGGGAGCGGGGCGAGCCCCGGCCCAGCACCGCCTAGCTCTCACCTTGCCTGAGAGCAGGACTTCCTACGGCCTTGCAGCTTTACGACCTACACTCTCTGACCAGTATCCTCGTGACTTCGGACAAATTACCCCCTGCTCTGGATCGCCTCCTTTAACGCCAGGGAGGAAACGGGAAGAACACGACGGCTCCGTGCTCCGGGGCTCGCGGGGTTGCGAGAGGAGCGCCTGGGTCCCGCGGAAGGAGAGAGGCAGGGGCTAGGACGCGGGCCTCCTGCTCTCCGGGGAGGGGCGGCTCCGGGGCCGCGCTCCCGCGCCGGCGTGAGGAAGCGGAGCGGCCGGGCTGCGGGCCTCCCTTCCGGCCGTGACGCGGCAAGCCAGGCTCCGCGGGGAACCGCGCACCTGGGCCGGGAAGGGGCGCGCTCGGCCCGCGACGCCCGGGACCCTCCCCGCGCCCGCCGCTGACCTCGGGGAGGCGCCCCTGCCTCGGCTTCCCGCGCGGCCTGGCCCAGGGGCGGCCCCAGGCTCTCCGGCCCGGAGTCCCACAGGGGCGCCTCCCCGGGCGAGCGCCCCCGGCCCAGCCCGCCGTTTACCTGAAGAGCCGCCGCCGCCGCCGCCGCCGCCGCCGCGGCCCGGCACCGCCCTCCCTGCCAGCCGCGGACAGAGTGGGCGGGGCCCCCAGGGCCGCCCCGCCCCCGCCGTCCTCCGCCAACCGCGGCTCGGCGCGCGGCAGCTCGGCCCCGCCCCCATGCGATCTCTGCGCTCATTGGCCGAAGGCGCGTCCCTCTCGCTCTCTCCGTCCCGCCCACCGCACCCCAGCAAGCCAGAGTGCGCAAACTCCACGCCGCGCTCGGCCCCGCCCCGGCCGCCCCGTGACCCGCGCGTCCGACTGTTGGGCGCGCGCTCCCGCTTCTTTTGCGCGGAGCCTGTGCCCTATCCCACTCTGCTGCGTGTCCCCACCGGGCACGTACACCTCGACGATCCCCGCACACAGACACCGCCCCACACACCTCAGGCGCATCGGGGACGCGGGTTTAGCGCGGCATTCCCCCCAAAGCCGGTCCCCTCGCAAAGACATACCTGTCCAGGTACACACGCCAGGTGGGCCCGACCTGAACACACATGGGAACTGTCATGCCCTGTATCTCTCTCACGTGAACACACACACTGAACACCCAACAAACACCCCAGAGACCCTGGGGCCGCCGCCCCTCCCCGAACAGGTACACACACATGAACACAGACTCAGACCATGAGGATCAAGATGAGCAGGTTTCTGAGAGGCAGATAATAAGCAAGTAAATGGTTCATAAGACGCCTGAAGTGCTGCGAAGGGTCGCAGCTGGGGGATGGGAGGAGGTGCCATGGGGCCCAGAAAGGAAGAAGAGCTGGGAGAGGAGCCAGCGTTCTGGCCAGAGACACTGGCACCTGCAAAGACCCTGAGGCTGAAGTTGCGTGGACATGTTTACAGACCAAAAATAAGGGAGTGAGTAGCATTCTAGAAGCTCAGGAAGTGAAGAGCAATTTGAGAAGGAAGTAGTCAGCAGTGCTAATCCACAGCCTGACAAGTGTCTGTGTCTTGCCGCAGAGTGGCTCTGTGGAGAGCTGTGGGCCACAGCGTGAGGCGGCAAAGTGAGGGTCCTAAGGTAAACGCTGGGGCAGGGTGGCAGCTGAACAGTCTGGGGACGGGGCCCACAGAGAGAAGGGCTTCAGCCTGTTTCTGTTGTAGGATGGACCCCAAAAGAGAGGGACAGAACTCAGAAGGCCGAGAGAACTAGGTTGTCAGCACATAATGCCTGGCCCCTCAGGAAGAGCCCTGCCCCCACCACCAAGTGGGAGGGGGGACAGATTAACCAGGGCATGTGGAAGTTGCCAGGGAGGGAGGGAGGAGGCCTTTCCCAAGCTCACACCTGGATGGCTCCCTCTCCTGCCTAAGTTCCCCATGGCCAATGCCCAGAATGCCCTGCTGGCCCTGCCCCCTCCCCAGCCTCAGCCGGACTTCTTTATTCCCCAAATGCACAAGATGCTTGGTATGTATCACGGCTGTCATTTAACTTTTATTAAATCTTTAATGCCAATCTCCCTTCCACAACAGTAAGCTCTATGAGAGAAAGACCCCTGTCTGTGATTTGCTCCCAAGTGCTCAGCACCAAGTCCAGCGTGTGATGGGTGCTCAATGAATCTCCGTGGCATAGATGGACAACCTAGCGTGCAGAGAAAGAGGAGGGTAAGAAAGACTTTGCAGGGCCGGCTGCGTGGCCTAGTGGTTAAGTTCAGCATGCTCCACTTCCGCAGTCTGGGTTCAGTTCCCAGGTGCAGACCTACACCAGTTGTTGATGGCCATGCTGCAGTGGTGACCCACATACAAAAAACAGAGGAAGATTGGCACAGATGTTAGCTCAGAGCAAATCTTCCTCGCCAAAAAAGAAAGAAAGAAAGACTGTGCAAGGGGAGAGTGCACTGAGCTGGTAATGTTCTGGAGCCCGCCTGTTATCTCTCTGTACAACGCTTGCTGGCTGCCAGTTGTATTCTGGCACTGGTGGGAGCCGAGAAGGTGAGAAGGGGCATGGACGCCCAGGCTCCACAGCAGCAGCTCAGCGGCACAGCCACCCTGGGTCGGAGCCACATGGTTTTCCCTTTTGTTGCTCCAGCTCTAGACATGGCACCTCCCCAGCCCTTCTAACACCTGAGTAACAATTCTGCATTAAATCCTTCTGCTTGAAGTACCTGGAGCAGTTTCTCTTTTCCTAACCCCAAGGTCGGCAACAAACCAGTTAGTTTGTCCATATTTTCTATGTTCCAGCTAATTTGCCAGACAAGGGCTCTGGGTGAGCAAGGGAATACCAAACACAAGCCTTGCTCTCAAGCAGTTTATGGTCCAACAGGCATGAGAAAATGTGTCTTACCGGTTCAAGTCAGAGCAGTCCAAGGCCTTCATCGCCATGGGCACACCACATCCACCGTAAATCCCAGTGGAGGACAAGTCAAGTCCACAGACACTCACCACTCACCAAGCCTTCACCAAGACCCAGGCACTTGTGGGACACTCCCAGGACGGCAGCTTACAGTAGAGAGATGACATATTTGGGCCTCAATTGCACCATCCATAAAATGGACATCACTTGGTTGTGCTCCAATTTGAGATCCTGGACATGAACTGCCTACCATGGGACAGGCACATGGAGTGTGGTCTGTGAATGGAGGCAGGACTTCAGGAGGTGGCAGTTGCAGCTGCTAAGAGTGCTTAGAATGGTGCCTGGCACACGCGCTCAGTAGATGTTAGCTGTTACTCCCCTTGGTAACAGCGCTCACACAAGACTGTAGGGACCAAGAGAAGGGAGGGCCATGTTGGCTCCTCTCCCCTGGAGCTGTAGGGTTTGAGGTGGGCCCAGGCCGGGGGCCCTTGCTTGCCTTGGGGATGTGTCACCAAGTCTGCAGAGAGCTCTGGGAGAAAGGCCTCCTGCAGTAAGCCTTGGCCTGGGCAGAAGCTTCCAGGCCTCAACAGAGGAAGGCCAGGTGGCTCCCCCACCATGCCCTTCTTCTGGTTCAGCCTCTATTACAGCCCTCCTGGCTGCTACCTTGGTACCCTCTCCAAGGATAAGGGGCAAATTGAAACAGTTACTGGCACATGTTGTATTCCTTTTCCTCACCACCTCAGAAACTCTGCTCCGCTTCCCTTGCTCGCCCCTCCCCCCGGCTCCCTTATAGACCCTCCGTGGCCAGCCACCCCCAGGATGGCCTACAGAGGCCTCACTCTGGCTCTAGCTCTTGGGGGTTCTCACCCCACAAAGAATGAGCTCCATGCAGGATAGGGCTGGTTCCAACAAGATGTTCCCAGGGCAAGTAGGTCCTAGGAGACAGAAGAACCCCACCTTGGAGGACACAATGCAGGTGCAAGCTCTAGAACCCTCCATTCTAGAATCTGCTCCTGCTTTCTCAGAGTCTGCCCTCCACTACGCCAGTCCACAGCTGTGTTAGCCTCCCACCCGGAGCTCTCAGCTCTGGTCATTTCCCTGCCTCTGTCCCAGTCCCAGAAAGTCTTGAGAAACTTGGCTGCAGCCGCAAGGGGGCTCAGGTCCCACCTGGCCTCCTGTGCCCCTCCCCCTCTCACACCAGTCAGGCCTCAGCTGTCTCCTGCCCCCAAGGCCCTGTGGTGAGCTGGCCGGCTCCAAACCCTGCCGCAGTGCCCTGCCCTCCATGAAGGGCAACGGCAGGCGAAAGCTGGACCAGCAAAACTTCATGGAGCAGGTTCAAGAATGCAAGGACAACGGCTACCTGCTCTCCTCCAAGAAGATTGGCTCTGGGGCCTTCTCCAAAGTCTACCTGGCCTACGCCACGCATGAGCGTATGCAGCACAACTCCAAGCTGGCCTCTGACCTGCGGGGCAAGCGCCATACCATGGTGAGGCAGGCCTGCCTCCTCCCTGTGGGCAGCCCTCCAGCCTGCCAGGCAGTTCCTGTCCTAACCCCGCTCAGGCACCTCCCAGCTGCTTTGGCTCCCTCCTGGTCCTGCATCCTCCCTGGAGGCTAAGGCTCCTAGGAGCTGACCACTGTCTGTTCTCAAACCCTTTGAGTACGTAGGTGCCCAGGACAGCAGGGAGGGACAAGATCAGCACTGCCCCCCGAGGGTGCTGCTTACCCGCCCTTGCCCCTGCCAAGTTCAGCAATGTGCACAAAGGACATGGGGCCTGTCCTGCCACCTCCTACCCCAAGGGACTGTGGTCCATTCACAGTGGCCACTGTCCACCCCTGCAGGTGGCTATCAAGATCATCTCCATTGCCAAGGCTCCTGTGGAGTTCTCCCGAAAGTTCCTGCCCCGTGAGATTTCATCACTCAATGCTACCTACAAGCACCTGAATGTGGTGGGCAGAGACCCCAACATAGCCCATCCTCATCCTGCCCATCCCCTGCAGCCAGCCCTCACCATGCCTGCTGCCCGCCCCCCACCCACCCCCTTCCCCACATGGGACCATTATGCTTGAGGCCCAACCCCTCTCTGAGACTCCAATCCCGTGCACTAGACAGCCTCTCCTTAGGGTGATAGCAGGTGGGTGGGGGTCTGGCAGGTGCAGCTGTATGAGACCTACCAGAACAGCCAGCGCTCCTACTTGGTGCTCGAGCTGGCGGCTCGCGGTGACCTGTTGGAGCACATCAATGCGGTGTCGGACCACCGCTGTTGCCCAGGGCTGGAGGAGGACGAGGCCCGTAGGCTGTCCTGGCAGCTGGTCAGCGCTGTGGCCCATTGCCACAACTCAGGCATCGTGCACCGGTGAGGGTGTCATCCAGCCCACCCACCCACCTGCATGGAGAGGCCCACCTGAGCTCAGGCCCAGCCCCATCTCCCCTTCCCCGTGCAGGGACCTGAAGTGTGAGAACATCCTGCTGGACGACCGAGGGTTCCTAAAGCTGACCGGTGAGCCTGCAGCCCAGCCCCCGCCCTCACCTCCAGCCCGCCCCAACTCTTGACCCAGCCAGGCCCACAGCTTCTACACTGGCCTGCTCCAGACTTTTGATCCTAGCCTGGCTTGACCATCAACCCTCCCAGGAGGCCTACAACCCACCCTGACCCACAGCCTGACCCCACCGGCCTAACCCCACCTTTGCCCACAGCCACAATGGCAGTCACCCACATGCTCCGTATCTGTCCCACAGCCTCCCCTCCGGAGCCCCCTCTCTCCTACAGCCTCACACACTGTACTGCCCTCCCTGCACACCCTGTGCAGACTTTGGCTTCGCCAACCGGTCCGGGCTCAAGAACTCGCTGCTGAGCACCTTCTGTGGCTCTGTGGCCTACACAGCCCCAGAGATTCTCATGAGTAAGAAGTACAACGGGGAGCAGGCCGATCTGTGGAGCCTGTGAGTGCTGCCCCGTGGGCACCCCCTGGCTTCCAGCCAAGACCCATGGGAGGGGAGAGGAGGGGGCACACCCTGAGGAGCCCGTGCCCCCAGAGGCATCATCCTCTATGCCATGGTGAGCGGGAAGCTGCCATTCAAGGAGCGCCAGCCCCACCGCATACTGCAACTGATGCGCCGTGGCCCCACCTTCCCGCCAGGCCTATCCCCAGGTGAGTGCCTCCACCCTGTGTCCCTCCTAAGTACCAGCTTGGGCCTGGAGAGTGGGCAGCAAGAGACCTGGGTCCGGAGAAGGGGCGTCCTGTGCGGCGGATCCCTGAGCCCAAGCTGGGAAATGGACTGTCCACCCACTGCCGTGAAGGGAAGCTGGGCTCGGGGAGGACCTGACCCAGACTCGCAGTCAGGAACGGCAGTAGCCCCACTGAACTCGAACCGGACCTTTGCACTAGCCCAGGGCAAGCCGCCTCGCCTTTCTGTGCTCAATTTCCCCATCGGTGAAACGCGGACGCCCTCCAGCCATTTGCGAGGACTGAATGTGACGACCCATCCAAGCTGCCAGCATTGTTGGCGGTGATGGGCGCGGGTTGGGGTCTCGAGAGGGCGGGCGACGGGAAGCCACAGAAGCAGCACCCTTGAGCCCTCGCCCGCAGAGTGCCAGGACCTGATCCGAGGTCTGCTCCAACTGCGCCCGCGCGCACGCCTGGGTCTGCAGCAGGTGGCCACGCACTGCTGGATGCTGCCTGCCGCGCACGCGCTCTTCCGCACCGTGCTGGTCTCCGCGCCAGGTGTGGCCGGATCCCCCGGGTTAAGCAGATGCGCGGGCCCTCAGCGCCCGGCGGGACCCCTAACTGCTGTCCCTTGCCGGCAGAGTCCCAGCTTCCAGCACCCATGGACGACGCGGAGCCCAGCGAGGACTCAGAGCACCCAGCAGCAGGTCACCTCCCAAGACCGCGCCTCTGGCCCGGCGCCCGAGTCCCCGGTGGACCACCCGAGAGGAGAAATGTGGGCTTTTCCGGCTTGGGCCTCCGGAGCACGGTGGCGGCCAGTCTGGGGGTAGGCACCTCTAGGCAGCTGCTGTCCCTGTGCTCCATGTCCGCCATCAGGAACGTGCCTGGGCACTACCTGCTCAACTGAGGGCAGGCGGGTGGGCGGGAACGAGGCCAGATAAAGCGTTTCTTCTGTGGAGCCGAGGGTGCGGATTTAGTGTAGAAAGAGGACAGCTGGCGTTGGGGCACCTAGCAGAGCTCCTTATCCAGGGAAAGTAGGAATCCACACACCTTCATGCCATTTTTAATTGGGGGGAGGGGGAATACAGAGAAGACCGTAGAAGAGGGATACCTGGCACCCATGAAGCACCCACCCTCGACAGGAGCAGACTCCCAGCTTTGGAGGCAGTACCAGGTCTGACATGTGTGTGGGGGGGGCAGTGTTGGGACCTCCTGGGGAACAGAGCTGCACTCCAGCACCAGGGTGCAAGGGTCCTGTGGGAAAGATGGCACTAGGTTTGGTGGAAAGCCCAGCAAAGGAGCACAGTGGAATGAGGGCCATACTGACATCCTACTGGGCTCAGCTTGGCCACTGCAGAACTGGGGGGACCACACATGGAGACAGGGGAGAACCAGGTTCTTGGGCCCACAGTGGGCTCCAAGGGAGCAGAGGGTGGTTAGGGGAAAGGCTTGGGCAAAGGGCAAGGCTGCAGGCACCCCAGGGAGGTGCTCCACATGGTAGGCAAGGGGCTCTGGGGAGCTGACCAGGGAGAGGGCCTAGCTAGCTGGCGGAGTGAGGGCATCAGGTCAGTCCAGGACTAAGAAACAGGACTTGAGGAGCTGACAGGGAACTGAGGGCAGGGCCAAGGCACAGGTCAAGCAGGAAGTTGAAGAGGATGAAGGGGAGGCAGCACCCAACAAATGCTCCAAGGACAGGCCAGGAGGGTGCAGCCCTAGGAGACCCCAGGACAGACTGTGGCTGGTGAAAGTCTCAAGAGGGCATCCCTTTGAGGTTGGGTCTCAGGCAGGACAAGCTGAGGACCCCAGGATGGAGGGACTCGGGGTGGGACTGGCTGCAAGGGGCACTGCTTGCACATGGGTGCCTGCCGATGCTCAACGCCTGCAGCACCCTTGGGACTGGAAGCTCCAGCTGGCCTCTGAGCCTTGCAATGCTTTGCTGTGCAGCCCCACCACCATGCCTGAGAGGAGGCTCATGGCTCCACTAGCCACACCCCTAGAGGTACCTGAGAGTCAGAGGGCCTGGCCAGCTCTGGCTCCACAGTGCTCCTCTGAGCAACCTGCTTTCTTGCTGGACATAACAGGGCACAGGGAGGTGCCCTCAACCCTCTAATGTTTATTGGGCGTTTGCCCTAGAACCCTCAGCACGGACCTGGAGCTTAAGTGTAGCTCTGCTTTTCAGCAGGGCACAGCCTCCAAGCAAGGTGATCCAGAGGCCTGTAGGTGGCTGCAAGAAAGCCTGGTCTGGGAGGCCTGGACTGATGGGCTAGCAAAGGTGGGCCTGGAGCTGGTGGTGGGCTACAGGGGCCTCAGGTGGGTGCAGCCCCCTCTGCTTGTGGCTCCGGAGACAGCTCCCGCTCCTGCTGCTCCCGCACGCACTGCTCCTGTTCCTGGCGGTCGAGCTGCTGCAGCTGCTCCTCCACATCCTCAGGCACCTGCACCTCCAGCAGGTTTTCCATGCCACGCTCTGGCTCATCTCCAATAAGCACCTACCAGCAAGGGAGGCAGGTGAGCAGTTGGCTGGCACACCATGGATATCCACCCCTCCCCCAAACCCTACACTCACCTGGATGAGTTTCTCACAAGTCGCTCGGACATCAGGCTCTGGTTCCCAGGTGTGCAGCTCACGCAGGATCAGGTAGGCTCCCTGGTCCCTCACCTGCTGTCGACCAGGTGCCGTGGCTGTCAGCTGGGAGAGGGCAGAAGTTACCCAGATGTCAGTGTGTTCATGTATGTGTGTTGAGGGGTGGCATTAACGTGGCAAGATCCCTGCTCACCAGCATGA